TGGTAGAATGGAACACCAGCATCTTGATTTTCATTATTTTCTCTCCAAGATACATGTGCTATCCATTTTAGTTGTTGCTGCTGTTGTCAGTCTGCAAGTGATGTGGCTTCTGTTAATAGGTACAGTTTTTTTGTTTGTGATTCTGTGGCACCAGTCTATGAAGTTCAATGAAAGATAGTTCTTGGTGAAGCTTACACACTTCACTCACTCAAAGCCATTTTTGACCATCGATCTTGTATAGAGGTGACAGTTTAGATATTTCTGAATGACTTTGGCACCAAACATGGGATACATATGAAAGTCTTGATCTGACAAGACTATTTAAGAACATGACTCTCATGTTTAAAGCTAGAGTCATGGTTACAGTTAGAGTTTGCGTCTGCATTAGCTTTTTTATCAGCTTTGGTCTTCCTTACTAATTACGGTTAGCTTTATGTGTTTTTTAAATTCAGGTTAACATTTTTTTTATTTATTGCTTACGTTTAGTTTTGGGTTATGGGTTAGGTTTATGGTTATGTGTTAAGTGCTAGATTTATGGTTACGTGTTAAGTGCTAGGTTTATGGTTACATGTTAAGTGCTAGATTTATGGTTACATGTTAAGTGCTAGGTTTATGGTTACATGTTAAGTGCTAGGTTTATGGTTACATCGTTAAGTGCTAGGTTTATGGTTACATCGTTAAGTGCTAGGTTTATGGTTACATCGTTAAGTGCTAGGTTTATGGTTACATGTTAAGTGCTAGGTTTATGGTTACATGTTAAGTGCTAGGTTTATGGTTACATCGTTAAGTGCTAGGTTTATGGTTACATCGTTAAGTGCTAGGTTTATGGTTACATCGTTAAGTGCTAGGTTTATGGTTACATGTTAAGTGCTAGGTTTATGGTTACATGTTAAGTGCTAGGTTTATGGTTACATCGTTAAGTGCTAGGTTTATGGTTACATCGTTAAGTGCTAGGTTTATGGTTACATCGTTAAGTGCTAGATTTATGGTTACATGTTAAGTGCTAGGTTTATGGTTACATGTTAAGTGCTAAGTTTATAGTTAAATTTAGGAGTTAGAATTGTGTTAAGTTTATTATCTACTGATATTCCTCACTGTTTAGGGTTATGGTTAGTTTAATTACCTACTCACAATTAGCTATTTTTCATTCAATGGTTAGGTTTATGGTTAGGGTTGGTTTAGGCTTAGGGCTCAGGAATAGAGTATGGGTTAAGTTTATTATCTACTGAAGTTTAGTTTGAGTTTTCCTCACTGCTTAGGGTTGCGGTTATGTTTATTGCCTATTTAACTACTGTATAGTCCCCCTGCCTCCTGACAAAAAAAAAAAAAAAAAAAACATGTCCTAGAAGTTACTCAAAATCAATGGGATAATTTAATCTCAGTATATCTGTCTATGGGCATATAGCGAATAAAAGTTTCTACCAAATTTGGAGGTGTTGTTCTTGAAAGATAAGATAGAATATATGATTGTTGGTAAAATAGAACAGCCCAACATGCAAATAATAAATTGGACACACCAAAATGAAGCAACTACGATAATTTAAATATCTGGAAAGTGTTTTAACAATGGATGAAAAATGCAAAACTGAAATCTGAAAGTGCATTTGAATAGTGAAAGATGCCTTTCAAAAGCTAAGCAAAGTATTAAGAAACAGGAAGATTTTGTTAGAAACAAAGAAAAGTGGATTGAGTTGTTGTTTAATATCAGTCTTTTTATATGGCAGCAAATACTTCCCTATTTAATCTACCATCTGACCTTAAAGGTTAGCCTCAAAAATTCTGAATCAAAATACACTGCCACTAAAAATAATAGTCTGAAATTATTATTTAACATATAGCAGAAAACATTACTATATATAAAAAGCAAACTAGCAGTACAGTTGAATGTGATTAAAGTAATAAATTAAAATTTTACCAGTTCTTTTTACAATAATACCTTTTATACAACAACTACTACTATTACTACTACTACTAATGTCTTGATGCTACACCAGACATGGCTTCTGGTCTTTGTTAGAAGTTTTAATGTGTATATGGTTTGTTTTGGTGAATTAGGATGGGCTACAGTAAATATGACAGTCAGCACCACAGATCTGCTTGTCTCTTGCCTGACCTTAACCAGTTGGGTGTGTCCACTAGGGGTTGATGCACTGTGCATCTCTGTTCATGTGTAGGAGTAGTGGGAGAACATCATAGTCAGTTGTTGTTGAAAAAGTCTTTTTCTTTTTTTTTTTTTTTTGTAAGTTCAGAGGATAAAGCAACCAAAACAACTTTGGAGTCACAGCTGGATACTGGGGAACACCATCAATTGCTGACCATCTGAGTGGGTTACCTGACCTAAACGTATTTCTAACTAGGCCCCACCTGCAAGGTTATGTGCTGCTTTTATCAAGATCTCTAACCATATAATGAATATTTTGCTGTGCTGAATGTGCATGGTATACCTTTATCAGATTGGGCTTCAAATATTTGTACACCAATGTCAATTTGTGGGTGTGCTACTCTCTCACTGATTAATAATAATAATAATAATAATAATAATAATAATAATAATAATAATAATATCTAGAAATTCCTGTGAAAATTCATGGTTTTGCTATTTGAATTTTCTGATGAACCATAATTCTATAATGATTGAATAAACTCTTTGTGGGTATTACAACTATAAAATACTCATAAAAATTCCCCAATTGCATCGTTAAATATTTGAGCTTAACAACATTAACAAAATATTACAATAAAAATCTTTATGGCACTAAAAATTTATATGGCACTAAACAAACTCAAACAAACATCTTCATGATCAAAACAGAATAGTCTATTATTTATAAGATAATGGAAAGGTGTATGAATGCAGGTCATTATTTAAAGAAGAGGGTACAAATGAAAAGATCTGAAACTGACATGTTTTTTCATTTCACAGATGCTAAACAGATGAGAGGATTATCCCCTCCTCTATCTATGCTCTCTTTCTTTTTTTTCTCTCACTGAAACCAAACTTGCATCTCTGATATATCTTTTCCATCTTTCCTCATGATCAAGTCCTGGGTATGATGAAAAACTACATCTGGCAACAAGACCTCTGACTGGGAGGTTTTGGGGGACAAAAAAAACCACCTCTTAATTGCTGTTGTTCCCAGGTTCACCCTGACTCAGAGTGGTAGCATCTATGTGCAAGTAGTCAGTACCCCACCAAAAAAAACTATGAAAATATAAAAATACGAGCAATACATTTTTATATAAAAAATAACCAACAATAATTATTTATGATAAAATAACCAACAATACATTTTATCTGTAGTTGAAGGCATACAAATTGTGTTCAAAATATATTTTCTTGAAGCCATAAAAAAGTGTTCAAAATATTTAGATTGTTGGGATTGCTATGAGTTTGAATTTGGTATCAGAAGGTTTTTATATTAAGATGGTTAGTTTACGGGCATGTTCACCATATTAATCCACAACAATATAGAATATAGACATTCAAAAGCGAATCAATCACAAGGTAATTGAGTAAAAGAACACTGATTATGAGATTTCAATAAAACAACATGCATTTATGTACAATTAATATACAATTTGAAAACTTGTAGTTTGATAATGCAAGAAATTGACCATTGATAAATTGGGCCTCTTATTGATTTACAGTTCAAAATTGTTCAAGTGTTTAAGAACTGGTTAAACAGAGTAAAGGGGAAAATATCATTTATACAGAAATTTGTGTAGTTTGTATGTGTGAATAAAGTCGGGTTTAATTGTCTAAATTCTCCAGAGTTGTTTACCTTGGATTGTTCTGTGGTTTTCTTTGTTTAAAATACAATTTCTATTTTAGTAGTGTGTAAGAACACTTTTTTTAGAAAGTTGTAAGTGAGATGTGAGAGGAGATTATGTTGATGTTTGAGTCAGCAGTTGACGCGCAAAAAGTATCTTAAGTCAAAATAGTGACACGCGTGGATTTGTGTGGCATCTCTCTGAAGTTTATTGACTGACTAGTGAATTGGGTCAAGATGGTCCTTTTTATTTGTTTCTGGAAACCAAAATAGGCTCCTGCAAAGTGGGCACGAAAATAGTTTTTCGACAATTGTTACATGTCTCGACCAATAGAAAGTCGAGATATGCAATGCAAGGTGTTGGTTGGTTAAAACTGATTCTGATGGAAGAGTGTACTTTATCTCGGAGGTGAGTATGAAATATGGACGATTCTATAAGATTTTATCATTAAATAACCCATAGAGATTTATATGGCATGAAACAAACTCAAACAAACATCTTCATGATCAAAACAGAATAGTCTATTATTTATAAGATAATGGAAAGGTGTATTGTACATGCTAAGCAAAGGATAAAGGAAGAGGCAGAATTATAAGATGATGTTCATTGAATTAAATAATATTATAATGGAGTGAGGCTAGATAGAATTGATTATATGATTTGTTTTTACGGCTTATAAACTCTTAGTGGGTTAATTAAAGCCAGAGAATATTTTGAGATGGTAAGAAATTCTTTTCTGGATATAATAATGGTTTATTGATACAAGTCTGACTAATTATCTCCTAAGTGGACAGGAAGAGGTAGAGTCATACTTAATCAAAATTTGATAAACAAAAAATTATAATGTGGATATAAAATGGAGGATCAATTTTGTATTACAATCAATATATAAACTGATCCCTCACTTTGTGGCTATGCTAGTTTATATACATTTATATTCCAGAGAACTGTAAAGTTTGGGTGGGTTATGGCTTTTGCCAGTTTATGGTGAAGGGCGCTGTCTATTCCTGAGATGATGGGGTGCATTGGGATACTAGTTTTGTGGGTTAGATAATGATGGTTTTGGTGATACAAGTCTTATTAATTAACTCATAGATGGGAAGGAGAATAGGTGGATTCATACCTTTCCCAAGGGTATTTGCACATAATGGACCCAATGGGAATTGGAACTTGCCCCTCTGCTTAATTATTCTGAGCCATTATCCATTATACCACTTGTATATACAAGATCACAGCACCTGGTATTCCCAAGCGGTCACCCATCTAGGTACCAAACTCACTTAATGTTGCTTAACTTTGGTGATAATACAGGAACCAGTGTTTCTACATGATGTGGCTGTAAGCTCAGGCTAGGTAGAAGTGACCATCTGAGATTGTCTATGGCAGATAAAATTGAGGATATTGAGGATAAAATTATCTTATATGAGACCTCAAATTTGCATATATGACAAAAGGTGTTTTTTTAATTATTTTTCAGATAAAAAGTGCATTTTATATGCTATAAAATATGGTGTATTTCAACATAAAAAAGTTACAATTATGTTTAGTTTGCTATCAATGTATTGGCTCTTCTAATAGATTGCAGTGCTTCTAGATATAAATGGCTGACCTAAATAAAATGACGTAAAAGCTAAGCCAAACTTTGAGGAGTTTACTTCCAGGTTACATCCAATGAAAACTTGCAACATTTGTATATTTGAAAAAATAGGTTGCTTAAAAACCCTCTGTTTTGAAGAGGCCTGTCTTCCCTTTGAGATTAGCTAACTGTATGTTGTGAATGATACAATCTTTGATTAGGGTAATGTTTTACATGTAAGCAGACTGTCACCTTTGAGGGCTTTTTAAAACACACCTACTAGTGGGTCCTAACTGAAAAGAGTTGATATCAGATTAGGGTAAGCACTCCGTTATAAAAATATTTGCCTTTTCAAATATGCTTAATGAATCATATCCTGAGCAAACATTGGGAAGGCATGAATTGTGTCACCCTTTTGATCCCCATTCACCCCACCTCCAACCAAAATGATGGTGTCCCACTTATGGCTGAGATAAATCTCCTCAAAAGCTTATGAAAAAAATGAGTGCAATTATTTTAATGAGAAGCATTTGCAGGTATGTCTTAGTGGTTATGAGAAGAACTGAAATGATATTCTTTGTGCCTGGTTGATGATAATCATTAAAATACGCTGGTAATGATCGTTGCACTCCTAATCTATTTATTCTTTTCAATTATTAAAATATTTTCATATAAGACTATACATTTCTTTCTTTCCTTCCTTCCTTCTTTCCTTTTTTCTTTCTTTTTTTTTTTCTACCCTGTGTTAAGAGGGTGGCTACTGGAAGACCCTATGTCTGGTAACAGAAATCTGCACCATGCCACATATGCAGGAGAATCCAGTCATGGCTGTCAGAGAATTTCTGCGGCCACATCACTTGTTACATCTGGCCACCCAACTCTCTAGACTCCCATGATTATTATGTGTAGGGTACAGTTGAGTGAAAGACCAACAAAACTCCTTGTAACACCAAAGATGAACTGAAGGCAAAGATTATGGTAGCATTCACCAACTTAAACAAGGAGACCATCCAGAAGTGTTGCAGGAAATTCCAAAGTTGTCAGGAGGCCATGGTTGAAGCCAATGGCGAGTTTATTTAATAAATTTATTCTTTAGTATTTCAAGATATTTTTATATAATTTTAGTAATTATCTGTTTAATTAAAATGAAATGTCAGTGTTATTTTCATTTTTGTGTAATTTAGATGACAATTTATCCATCGCACTTTGTATATTATAGGTACCACCACGAAATCGCTAAAAATTCAGCATACCTTGACATGCAACAAACGTAATAAAAACTTAGTTTTGTCATTAAAAGGTTTATGCTATTATTAAGAGGAAGCATCAAGGTATTTTTTTTTTTTTAAATTATTATTTTTTTTTGATTAAAAAACTTGTTTTTCTTGCCTCAGTAGATGTACTATTAATAGTTTTTAGCATAGCAAATTTTAGTCTCTTTTTTGAAGTGAAAGACACATTAATTTGGAAATTCTTGCAAAAATCAAATAATTGTCAGATTTTAATGGAAGCTTCAGGACTTATTCACAAATGAATGAAATTATTTTCAAAATATTTTTATTAGAAAATCTTGGTAAAAATATATATATATGTGTATAATATATATACACATCTAATATATATATATATATATATATATATATATATATATATATATATATACATATGTATAATATATATACATTTTGTATGCATATATATATATATATATATATATATATATACAAATATAAAAATATAATATATATATATCATATATTTATGTATAATTATAAAATATATATATATACACATATATGTATTTATAATATATGTATATACTCACATGTATATATTTGAATATATATATATATATATATATATATATATATACAAATATAAAAAGTATAATATATATATATGCATATATTTATGTATAATGTATAAAAATATATATATACACATGTATGTATTTATGTAATATATGTATATACTCACATGTATATATTTGAATGATATATATATATATATATATATATATATATATATATATATATAATATATTTATAAAGTAATATATATATATATATATGTATTTAAATAATATATATATATATATAACATATATGTATTTAAAATATATATATATATACACATGTATTTATATAGATATATATACACATGTATATTTGTACATGTATTTATATATAATATTTATATATATATATATATATATATATATATATATATATATATATATATATATATATATTTATATATATGTATATATATATATATATATACACATATATATGTAAGCAAATTTGGATAAAAAATTATATGAGAAATATATATGCAAATCCTAAAGTAAATTCAGGTTTGTATTTTCAGTAGACAGTGTAAGCAAATATATGGATATCAAATGTCGATTTGAGGAGAAATATATACAATGCAAATCCTAAAGTAAATTCAGGTTTGTATTTTCAGTAGACAGTATGTTAACAAATATATGGATATCAAAATGTCGATTGAATATGAGAAAGTCCTTCCGTTACAATGTTACAATAAAGTAAATTAGGTTTGTATTTAGTAGACAGTATGTAATGCAAATATATGGATATCAAAATATGTCGATTGAGCGTATGTACAATGCAAATATAAATAGGTTTGTATTTTCAGTATATAGCAAATATATGGATATCAAAATGTCGATTGAACGTAGTGAGAAAGTCCTTCCGTTACAATGCAAATCCTAAAAGTAAATTCAGGTTTGTATATATGTAAGCAAATATATGGATATCAAAATGTCGATTGAACGTATATATACAATGCAAATCCTAAAGTAAATTCAGGTTTGTATTTTAGTAGACAGTATAAGCAAATATATGGATATCAAAATATTGAACGTAGTGAGAAAGTCCTTATACAATGCAAATCCTAAAATAAATTCAGGTTTGTATTTTCAGTAGACAGTATGTAAGCAAATATATGGATATCAAAATGTCGATTGAACGTAGTGAGAAAGTCCTTCCCGTTACAATGCAAATCCTAAAGTAAATTCAGGTTTGTATTTTCAGTAGACAGTATGTAAGCAAATATATGGATATCAAAATGTCGATTGAACGTAGTGAGAAAGTCCTTCCCGTTACAATGCAAATCCTAAAGTAAATTCAGGTTTGTATTTTCAGTAGACAGTATGTAAGCAAATATATGGATATCAAAATGTCGATTGAACAGTGAATCTTCCCTAAATGCAAATCCTAAAAGTAAATTCAGGTTTGTATTTTCAGTATATAAGCAAATATATGGATATATCGATTGATATATACAATATAGGTTTGTATTTTATAGATATATAAATATATGGATATCAAAATATTGAACGTAGTGAGAAACCTTCCGTTACAATGCAAACTAAAGTAAATTAGGTTTGTATTTTCAGTAGATGTGTAAGCAAATATATGGATATCAAAAATGTCGATTGAACGTAGTGAGAAAGTCCTTCCGTTACAATGCAAATCCTAAAAGTAAATTCAGGTTTGTATTTTCAGTAGACAGACATGGATATATATGGATATCATATATATATATATATATATATATATATATATACAATGCAAATCCTAAATAAATTCAGGTTTGTATTTTATAGACAGTATGTAAGCAAAATATGGATGGATATCAAAAAGTCCTTCGATACAATGAAATCCTAAAGTAAATTCAGGTTTGTATTTTCAGTAGACAGTATGTAAGCAAATATATGGATATCAAAATGTCGATTGAACGTAGTGAGAAAGTCCTTCCCGTTACAATGCAAATCCTAAAGTAAATTCAGGTTTGTATATATGTATGTATAATATATATATATATATATATATATATATATATATATATATATATATATACACACACATACATATATGCTAAAAAAGTATGTACAAAATAAGGGACTCTTACATTTATACTGTATATTATTGTTTTACATGGTTTGTAGTGCCGAAATCTTTTTTGTAAAAATCAAAGTGACATGTGTTCCTTTTTTTGGTCCGTTGAAGTCAACTATTATAAGTAATTGTGTATGCAAAAAATGCCAAGATCAAAAGAACTGCCTGAAGCTTTAAAAAATTTCATAGTTGAAGCCTATAATGATGGAGAATGCTACGGAAACATATCAAAATGATTTGGAGTGCACTTCTTCACTATGCAAAATATTATTTAGAAATGGAAGTCCTTTTGTATGATAGCATTGCAATCAAGATGTGGCTGTCTGTGAAAAATATCTGCATGCCCAGGTCAGTCCTACTGTGACCTTAGAGACTTCATGTCCAGAAAAGAAAACACTTGTACAAATACAAGAAGAATTACATAAAAAATTTAATTGCAGTGCCTTGTCAATTGTCTGTAATGAAACCTGTATATATATTCGCCATTCTTTCAACCATGTGCTGATGGCTTGTAGAGAAAAATCTCTGACTGTTGCAATCCTGGCTTGAAGCAATTGGATGCCTAGCCACACTGAAAACAGTCGGTCTGTGGATGACATATATATATATATATATATATATATATATATATATATATATATATATATATGTAAATGTGTAAGCAAATATATGGATATAGCTCCGTCAGTATGAAGTTGACATTATATTAACATTAAAACAGCATAATTGCATATTAGGATTTTTGTTTGTTTTTTCTGTATATTTTTCATCATATATATATATATATTTATATATATATATATATATATATATATATATATATATATATATATATATATATA